TATAAACCTATAAATATGCTGTTATATCCACGCAAACCTTTGCCGAGAGATAAACATCTGACGTGCCGAGTAATTAGCATTATCCGTGTAACCGCAATTATTATGCCACGTTATGTTGTCGCACGTCAGATTTATAATCTTGTATCTCGATAACGATTTATAATATAAGGAAAATAGCAAGTTGTAATATTTTGTAAAAGAACGTGAGATAAAAATTGTAGAGTTCGATTTAGAAATTTTAATGCAACTGAACCTTCCAAAGTCAAACGAACGACATCCTACGAACATCCTATAGTTTTTATTCGTTTTTTTTTCTTTTTTTTTTCGTATCTCATTCATATTTTTCGAGATGTCTGCCAGTTAAGATAGACACGCTGTGTGCCGAGTTTTAGAGACGAACTGACGAATTTTACGTGCTGAAATATGCCACGACGAACAGAGATTTCACGACCAACGAATTTGTCACAATTGTCCGATACGCTTAATTAAACAAAAAGAAAAAGAAAATTCCCCTGTTAACAAAAGCGTCACTTTTCAACGACGAGGAACATAAATTCGCGTAAAACTGCTTCTATACATGAGAAGGTGGGTGCGCGTGTTCGAACGTACTTGGATCGCGGTAACGATCGATCGTGTTTGGAATTCCTTGAAGTTGGTCTTCCATGCCGGCAAGCGTCCGTGTTATTCCCGGTTAGGGGGTTCTTTGTGAGGCTCGGCGGCGGCGGGTTGATTCTCAGCGAGCGAAGTTCCTCGATCGAGTCAATCGTATTCCCGAAGGCCTGCAGGGACCTCACGAACCTGGACTTCACTCTGTTGAGGTCAGCACAGCAGATTGCCTCGAGGTCGTAAATTTTCCTCTTGTACGAGCCGGTCGCCGACGCTGAAAGACGCTGCTCGAACGAGTTCAGCTCGTCCTGCAGCTCGTCCACCGTTCTCTGATACATCGTGCTGCCGAGGCACGCGAGATAGCTTGTCCTCGGCGTGTCCTGATCAACGTGTGGATCCCGATGTGGATTACAATGTATGGACGACGACGTGGGCTAACGAGCTGCCAGCTTACTTACTCCGTTCGAGTGTACAGCTCGGTGCAGTCTCGGTGAACTTTCGGAAATACGCGTCACGTTCGCCAAGCGTGAGCCACACCTCGTGTGATCTGCGGGCCGAGTAATTGTTTCGTGCACTCTCCTATCGGGCAAATAATCGTTCGTCCGATCGAACAGAATCGGTTTCAGGCTGTTGTCGTTGCTCGGTGGGCAAATCTGTCTCGAGAAAGTCTACAAATCGAGGTGAACACAACTGAACGCGCAACGCACGATGATGAACTTGGACTGTCACTTGGTGAAAGAAAATTGTGTGACGATCTATACGAGGTTTCATTTTATTAGTGCAACAGTTTCCACTTTTACGAGAAGAATAGAAGACAATTTAAAAGTAACCAGTAAATTTGTTAAGTCTGTTCGATCGGTTCGCTACGCACCATGACAGGGGAATAAGAAATAACAACATAATAATTACTGAATCGCGGGGATAAACTGAAAACAGAATAAATATTCCATTTTCTCATCCTCGCCTCGCGGAGAAGTTTCGTCTATTCGTTTCAGAGGAGAAAAACTGATAACCTGTCAAACTTCGGTAGTTACGCCGCAGCTCGATAAACTTTTGCAATATCGTCATTTCTATTTCTTGATGAAGATTTAGCCTCTCGTCTCGCAGCGCGTCCCGCAATTCCCGAAGGACTCTGCGAAGATTCTCCACCCGCGAGATGATGGATGCGTCGTATTCTTGGTTATCCACCATTACGCGATCGTCGATTACACTGGCCATTTTTCTTTGTATCGAAAACGAGCGAACTAACCGTAGGAGAGAACAAAAACAGAGAAAAGAGAAAAGAAACGTTTCCAGTCCCGGGGAAGAAAATAAGTTCACTGGGTTTTCCACGATTTTGTCATCTTAAGGTGATGGTCTTCCGGCGCGATTTCAAGCCCCCCCCCTCTTTTGACGTTTCTCGAGAGATCGATCGATGTCCTCAGCTCGCGCCCTACGTCGTTGCGATTTACTATCGATTACGATTACTGTGGACTCTCGTACGTTGGGGGGGAGAGGGGAATTTAAAATATGACATGAATATTTTACAAATATTTTATAAATCTTTAAATTTTCTACAAACGCATAAATTCGACGGTCGTTATTCTTATTATTTTTGTATTTATATTTCTTCGATTATAATTAAAGAAGCGAAACCTCGATAATAATTCGCTTTGTCTATTGGTTGTCATGAAAGATACTGCAGATATTATAATGAAAAGCAGACAATATAATATTGACCATATATACAAATACAAAAGCAGGTATTTCTTCAAAAGTCGAAAATCAAGATTGGTATATTTAGTATACACACATTCGGCATATTTCCAACATCATTGTTTTCGAAAACAAAGCCCCATATGCAAAAATTTTTCCACGATAAATCATTCCTTGATTTTCATTTTGCGAAGATTTTGCGAAAATAACTCAGAGACCATTGGCCGACTGAAAAAACAATATCATAGCCACCATTGAAAACGGGAAACGAAAATATAATGAAAAATTGATTGATGACTCAGTGTTGAGCTCACAAAAAAAAAAAAAAAAAAAAAAAAAAAAGAAAAAATCGACGAGAACACTTGAACAATATTACGTTTTATAATTAACGTCATGAAACAGACTTCACTGTCAAATAGAGAAATTAAGCAAAGTATCAAGTAGGCAATTCGTTTCCATTTGTCTGAAACATCATCCGACAAGTTAATATTATATTTATCGGACTTTGTCTTAGGATATTTGGTATTCGCGGTTTAACTCGACTCGTAACGAGTTCGCAGAGTCGTTTTAATTACTACAGAGGCGCTTAATTCCGGCGTCGAACGTTCGCGCCGCGTGCTAATTAAAATTTGATCAAGTACACGCTCTTCCATCAAAGATTGAAACGCCAAAGGTTTCGAAACAGCGTTTCCAGCAGAAAGAAATATAGGACGCGTTCCAGTTCCCCTTGGTAATTTCATTATTCAAACACCTAGCGATTATCCGACATTTTTCATCCGTTTTCCATGGTGTAACGTCGTTAATAAGCAAACCAAATATTTTCATATCGTGGCTGGAACGTTGGTGGAAAACCAACCAGGCGTTTTTCAACGGAGCGCCAGTGAAATTAATTCGAATCGGACAGCCGAGGTCTATGCTTCCTTTTTGTTTCCTCCGATTGAAAAAAAAAAAAACCTCGGTTGAACTCCTTCATTACGCTGCCGACACGTTCGCCAAGTGATCGATAAGCGCGATGAGCAGGTGTATTATCTGCGACGAATTATAGTGGGGGCGCACTCGTATTTATAGGTATTATATTCAACGAATCGCGAAACGCAACAATGCACGTGACAAAGGGAAGCGCGGTGCAATATTCTACGTTAAAGTCTTCGTTTTACGATTTTATTATATGCACGTTGTTCCGAATAATTAATAATGCCACATTTACGAGAATAATTTCAAACAACACCGCACGTACGCACGTAACGTTCAATTCATTCGAATATGTTAATATTTTAATGTCAATGCATTGTATTTAATATTTTAATGTTAATATATTATACTTGACACGTTATGATATATCGTAATATTTTAATGATTTGTGTTATAAATAGCATTTAATGTAATATTGAAAGGTTTCGATGTTTTAATGCTTTAGTGATTTTAAATAGTATGTGAATGCATTTTAAAGAAACAGAATCTGAAAAGAATTTGTTTCATCTACTGGATATTATATGTATGTATTCTATTTTGGATATTTTTGTACATTTGGTGTATGATATATTATCTTGTATTATGTATTAGTGTATATTTTTGCAACTCCCATAAATTTCTAAAGATCCATAAAATTCGCATGCCGATGATTGCTTATTTGAAAATTTAATTTAATGTAGGTTGTAATTAATAATTTAAAGTATTTCATATAAAATCTATTGTATCCCCATTTTTAAACAATTTCAATATTTTCTATAATTGTACAACAAAACTGCTGCAGCGAAGAATTCCATTTCAATCTATATTATATATATTAATAAAATAGATTTTCTGAATTTAGGAATCTTCCAACTTGATAACGTGGTAAAACTTGTATTTTTGATTTTGCATATTATTTAAACGAAATTGTAGAAACAATTATATTTTAGTAGGTATCCAAAGTATTATTGAAATGTGGCATGTATAATTGTAATAATAGCGTAAAATCTTGTAAAACTGAATTCTCAGATATCAGTTTAGAAGGGAAACAGATAAAGTTCCTTTAACCAAAAATTAAAATGCATCTTTTCTTTTTAATATTTATTACATAACAGAGTACATTACAACGTGATTAATATCTCGAAATATATTCACCGTGACGTAATTTTCGCAACGAAGTCTCGAATAAAAACAGATGCAACGTGCAAAAGCAGTTTTTATTTGTGTGACAATAACCCATTGCACGAAATGACTTTGACAATTATCTCCGACAATGGAAAACGAACGCACGGATCGTAATTTACA